AGCCCCTCTTGGCTAGCGCTTGTAACAAATTCTTTCATGTGCTTGAAGTTGACGGCGTAGGCATGGTTGATGTCACAAATGTCGTAGATGGAGATCCCCCGCACTCCAATTGACGTGAAGGCGGTGTTGATTATGGTGAAGCTGATAGCGAAGACCCTTGCCAAAATGTTGAAGAAGGTGTAGCCAATGATGTCAAAGTCGAAAACCCGTTCCGAAATGTTGATAAAGGCATAGTCGATGGAGCCAAAGTCGGCGACGAAGCCCCTTGCCGTTACTCGAACAAAGTCTAGAACAATGGGTCACCGAAGTTTCAATAGCGAAGTGGGTAGCGAAAGTGAGAGCTAATGATGCAATTATGGGATATTGCCCTGATGAGATTTGTTGCTTTAGCGTTGGTATGATCGCATTGGTGTCTTATCATGTTCTCTTTTGTGGGGCAAGATGGGCGAGAGATAGCGAAGAGTGTCCCTCAGGATTTTTACATACTTTGGCGCGGCGAGAGGGTGAGGAGTCACGAAATGAGCTCCTCAGTGCTTTTAGATTACTTTGGCACCAACCCATACTTTTTGAGGCGAGGGGGCTAGAAACGACGAAATGAGCCCCTCAACGTTTTTAAGTTAGTTTGGCACAAACCCAATACCTTTTGAGGCGAGGGGCTAGAAGCGGTAAAATGAGCCCCTCGGTGCTTTTTTAGATTAGTTTGGCATCGACTTCCATACCTTTTGAGGTGATGGGGCTAGAAATAGCAAAATGAGCCCCTCGGCGCTTTTTTAGATTAGTTGTATTCAGCATAAAAACTGCACTCTGGCTTTGGTGTTCAACAAGGTTGTGTTCATCTAGAGTATCAGCTGAGAAGTCCGTAGGGAAGAAGACGATGAAAGAATTTAAATAGACTATTGCACCTTATTTATTTGAGGATTTTTTATATGTAATTTAGCGATGTATTGTGCTAAGTTTTAATATAATAATTCCCCTTCCATTCGGGGAAAAATATAAGTATTTAATTACCTGTGTAATAAAATTAAACATATCCATGTTTCTCTTGACAAAACCGCTAACCAAAAACTGGGATCCCATATCCTGAGCTTTTTTAGCATCCGGAGGAGACTGTCCTAAATCATGTACTCCCTCCATCGCAAATTATAAGTTATTATTTTATAATTTTTTAAAGAGTCAATGTATCTCGAGTTTGACTAAATTTATATAATAAAATAATAACATCTATTATACGAAATAAGTATCATTCGGTTCTTTATTAATTGTATTTTTATAGTATACCTATTTAATGTTATAGATCTTTGTAATTCTTTCTATAATTTTGGTCAAACTTGAGATACTTTAACTTTTAAATAAAGTTAGAATAATAATAACTTATAATTTGGAACCGAGAGACTTATACCTTTCTATTTAAAACCTCGTTCGTCTTGCGTGTAGCGCCTTCGTGTGTTTTCCTCGGTGTACAAGGGTATATATACACTGTACACTACACGTTTCCACTAAACATTTCCATGTGATGTACTCCTACGTTGATACAATACATAAGCTACTGTGTACTGTCCGAAACCAAACACCACAGGATTAAAAGCTCAGACCGGCCCGCGATCGAATGCAAAAGTAGAGGAGAAAAGTCGCGTCCATAAAGACTCCTCTCTCAGGCAGTCGTCAGACTAATGGGCATGGCAGGCAGCACTCCTACTTTCAGAAGATTACACGCCTGCCTACTTGAATAATGCTTGTGCGCTGAAGAGTGAAGAGCCATCGCCCAATAGGCCAGTCCTTACAGCACGGGCGTCTGGCGTGCCCCTTGTCGTGCGACTTGCATGCTGTCGCTGCCATGCATGATGAAGCAGGCAGATCCATATCCATATGGTCCCTCCCGGGAGCGGGGAAGGCGTGTTCAGCTCAACTGCTCGCACTCACGCCGCATCCACCTCACAGTCACACACACAGGATGACAGGAACACCCAACCGACACGACACATGAATTCCCTCCCTTCCCTAACACAAACTGCTCCGGACCGAACCGGCGGCCTTGTAACAGTTTGACCTGCGTTCACTGCCGCCGCTCGATCTTCGCGCGGCAGGTCGTCGCGCGTCGTGGCCGCGGACCACCCACGCACACCCGGCCTCATGTCGCGTAGCGTTCATCTCGTAGCCGTAGTGCATGCGTGCCTCGCAATCGCATCGTCGGGACGGCGGCGGGGCCGGTCTCTGGAAGCCATAATAAATCCGTTTGGACGGGGGTCGGGGTCCAGTTCCAGTAGAGATGGACCAGGGGAGTGTGTGCGTGCATGTGAGAAGAGACATATTGGTTGACCTTGTCTTTGTCACCAAAGGATCGTCCAAAGGCTGGCCTGTAAACGCTGCAGAATCCTCCCCCACGGTCCTGTTCCGTTTTTTCGGTGGTGCGTGCACTTTTTACGCTTTGTGGTGGATGTGGATACAGGAATTTTGCGAGGGTTGGTGGTGTCTCTCCATCAGTCCCACCCATACATGCCAGCCCGATCTTTCGAGCAACTTGCCTCCGGAGTCGATCGGCTTTGCCGTTCGCCTGCTCAGCCTTCACGTTTCTCTTCCGGTCCGACGATGATGATGCTGTTCCGGCGCTCCCCGGTGGCTGGCATCGGCAATCATTATTGGCTTCGTCGTCGCTCCCCGGTGTCCGGGGCGGAGACGCCGAGTGCTCTGCTAGCCCACTATCGCAGCGGCAGCCAGACGGAGCGGGTGAAAGCTAGCATTGACCCCGGCCGCGCCAGGGCCACGAGCACTGCTGCTGCGTCGTCGATCGGTCAGGCGACCAGAGCGCACGCACGCAGGCGGGCAGGGGCATCAACCTGACACCACCACGGTTCCATCCACGAACGCCAACGGGGAGTCGGGAACGGCATGCATGGCTTTCCTTGCTGGCACGGAACGGAAGCCCACAACTGCGCTGCGCTCGCTTTCGCCCTGACACTCACGCTGATCGCTGCTGGTGTGCACGGGAGAAGGAGATCGAGATTGGTCGACTTTTTGACCCGCGTCGCAACTTGCAAACAGGTCCAGCGGCCGGTGCCCTGCCCGGTGATCACCAGTCTGACCAACTCGCACCCTGCTCCTGCCTGGCTATCTTTGCCGTTCCGGATCCGATCCGCATGCCTTCGTCACATTTGCTCGTACGATTTTGCCCCCGTCCTTCCCGTCCATCCCCACGAAAAATGCCCTGGTACCAGCCCATCCGCGCGATGATGCTGCCTGCCTCCGCTCCCCTGTGACAACGGCAAGGCAATCATGCCTGGCTCGGCTCATCACCTCCGTCACCGGCGCGGCTCACCACTGCGCCTACGGCATGCATGTGGGCACGGTCAGGGAGCCAGTAGCCAGAAAGCACTGAGCCACTGACCGACCCTTCGTCAGGCACTCAGGCGCGCCACTGCTCAGCCTGTTTGCTTTGCTGATAAGCCATGACTGAAAATACTGATGGTTAATTTATGGTAAAGGAAAAATATTATTCGTTAGCTAAAAAAGTATAGTTTATAAGCTAAAGCCAACAGGGCGACTATCGCATCAGTGCATCTGCGTCGTCGTCCGTCAGACGATCAGGAACTCTGAACACGCGCGTACCCACAACTCCACAAGACGGGGACGGGTGCAGGGCTGCAGGCATGGCTTTTTCTGGCGCGGAAGCTCTCGTCTGCCCCTGTACGGACGTCGAACGGGTGACAGCAACGGTCGACGTCCATCCCCATCAGGTTTCAGAGCCTCTCAACCTGGCCTCGCTGTTCCTGGATTGCCCCAATCAAAACACCGGAGTAATGACATTATAGGAGTAGAGTATTGTATATTACCCCCTCTCTATATGTATTAAAAAAATGTAAGTTTTAGATTTAGAGGCTCTACACTGCTCTGGAGGAACAGCGACAGTGCACGAAGAAATCGCAGGAGGGGCCATTGTTCAGATCAGATGATTCCCTTTTCTCTCTCTCTCTTTATTTTCCTTACTTTTTCTTTGCAAAGAATTCTTTTTTCGGTTGCCTTTTGTCATCTGCTTTATGTGTGTGTTGTGTGCGTCTTTAAAAAACAACCATTGAACAAAGTTTTTTTTCTTTTCTTTCAGAAGATCATTAGCCATTACTGCAATTGAATGAATGCGTGGTGAGAGTGAGAAGAGAAGGGTGTTTATTTTGCAATTTGTCGTGCTGAACATTTGATTCCTGAACCTGATAGTCACTCTTGATCACCTAACAATAGGATATGGACAGACCTATGTACGAACTAGTTGCATCATCTCAGTAAGCTAGTGCACTGGTACAGCAGTACTTGACGAGGTGATCAGGTTCGTTATCTTTGAACAATGCTCCACTCGCTTTCACTTAACACGGACGGAAGCATCTGCTAACTGCTGATCTGCAGTTGCTGTTGACGTTACGCAGAGGGCAAAGCATCTGCTTACCGAGCCGTTTCTTTCGTGCACTCCCTTTGAAATTCTGGCCCAGCCGTCTGCTTTGAAGAGATATACAGATCAACTTCTTTTGTGCAACAACAAAAGACGATAAAAAAAGTGAGAGAAAGCAGCAATCAGATGCTCTGGTAGGGTATCTATCAATTCATCTTGCAAACAGGCTCTCTCTTTGGGACCAATGCAGCTTAAGATCTGACTTCAAGGCCTTTAGTTATGGCCCACTTCCAGTGTTTACACAGAAGCAGAAAGAACTTAAAGATCTTGGTTCCATAACAAAGATTCTGGCGCTAAATTTGACAGAGTGCACTTGATACTTCAGTGCCTACTACAATATTAGAGAAGGGAAATCAAAGGCTCTAGCAATGTAACTCAACTCGCTACAGACTCCTACTACATTGCAGCAGCAAATGAAAACATGGCAAACTGGAAACAACCAACCACAAACTTGAATATGTACAGCACAGGAGGCCAAACTTACTGCATCCTAAATTACGACCTAAGCTTGAGAGATCGAAGCACGGATTTTGCAAGGAATGGTAACGTTTTCAATTTCGGTGACTCAGATGCTGATGAGATCTGGAGGTGGCGATGACGGAGAGCTTGTTTGCTGCTGCTGACCTCTCGCTTCGACGGTTGGTGCTTCATTGGTCCCAACTGGTGCTGGATGTAGAGGACTGGATGCAGAACCGTCACCGGAATTTGGAACCTCCTCTCCTTGCTTGGTAGATGGCTTTGGAAGCTCACTTAGGATCTGCACAACCTCCCTCATCGTCGGGCGCTGCACACTTTGCTCCTCAGTGCAGAGCAATGCAACATAGAAGACATGCATCACCTCGTGCAGCGGCACAGTTGAGAGCCTTGGGTCCAGGATCTTCATCACTTGTTCTTTGCTTGAGTCTGTCATCATCTTTGCCCATTGGACAATGTCAACACCATCGCCAAACTCACCTACAGGCTTCCTTCCAGTGACAAGCTCAAGAAGCACAACACCAAAGCTATAGACATCACTCTTCTCATCGACCTTCAGTGTGTATGCATATTCTGGATAGCCACGGATGACAACGAAGAGCAAGGTCAATCAATTGGAAAATAAAATTTAGTAGTCAGCCATTTTGTAAACCAAAAGCAATGACGTAGATGTAAAGAGAAATACAACAGAAGATACACATAAAAAACCATTGAACATTACGATCCTGAACGTGTAGACAGACATCATAAAGTTTTAACAGAAGATACAACAATGAAGTAACTGATCTTCAGTAAATGTTAAAGGCTAAGAGAACTAGTAGAGAGATATTATAACAGAAACCACGTAGATAAGCACCAATACTCATCAAACAGTATAACAATGAAGTTTTATAGCTTTAGAGACATAGTTTTATAGCTTGAACAATGTAATAACTATAAGCATTCTAAACTTATGATGTGTCTCGATATATTCAGATGAGTACTCTATTCATATTGAACTGGATCAGGAAGGGTTGATTTTTACCTGGCGCTATGTAGCCATATGAGCCTGCGATGGCGGACATGCATTCAGATGCCCCAGAATCCTGCAAGAATTTTGCTAGCCCAAAGTCGGCCACATGAGCTTCAAAGTTGGAGTCAAGAAGTATGTTATTTGACTTGACATCCCGGTGAAGTATCAAAGGTGAACAATCATGGTGCAAGTAGCAAAGCCCCTTGGCTGCCTCAATAGCAATGCTGTATCGGGTATCCCAGTGCAGGTGCCCCCCTTTCTTGCCATGGAGCATCTCCCCAAGGCTGCCATTGGGCATATACTCATAAACCAGCAGATTAGTCTCATTGTTTGAGCAGAAGCCTAGAAGGCGCACAATATGACGGTGTCGAATTCTACCAAGTGTTTGTATCTCTGCGGAGAATCCATGATCATGTGATGAGCCACGGCCCATTGCTGGGAGTCTCTTCACAGCTACAAGTTCACCATTCGGCATTGCCCCCTTATACACAATCCCAGCACCACCTTTGCCAATAATGTTCTCCTCTTTCAAGCAATCCAGCACATCATCACTGGTGAAGTCCAGGCGCTGGAATGCAGTGAGTTTCCATACTCGCGCTTCACTAGCTTTCTTCAATGACCGAGCCTTCAGAATTGCCGCAGCAGCAAATGCAATGGAGCAAATCAACAAGCCAAGGACAATGAGCAGCTTGACCGTATTGCTCAGCCCACCATGGCCATGGGCAGTGTGGTCGGTGCCAGCGATGCCTGCGCTGCATGGACCGAGGTATGGTCCACACAGGCCTGGGTTGCCAACGAAAGATGTGGCATTGAAGTAGCTGAACTGGCCAGTCCCTGGCACAAGCCCAGACAAGTTGTTATAAGAGAAGTCGACCGCCGTCAAGCTCTGCATCGTTGCAATGGATGGAGGTATCTCTCCATCAAGGTGGTTCCTGGACAGGTTGAGGTAGTTCAGTATTCGCATTCCAGAGATGGCCGGAGGTATCTTCCCAGAGAGGTTGTTTTGGCTCATGTCCAAGTAAGTGAGAAGCCGGCATTTCCCAATCTCCGGTGGCACACCTCCCTCAAACTTGTTGCTGCTAAGGTCAGCCTTGGAGAGCTGCTGCAGCCGCCCAATCTCCGGAGGTATGGCACCAGAGAACGCGTTCTGATCAAGCAGCAGCTTCTGAACACCAGAGAAGTTCCCAAGAGATGCAGGCAATGCTCCCGTAAGCTGGTTGTTGGACAGGCTGATCTCGCCAAGGTTAGGAGCCGCAGCACCGATCACAGCCGGGAAATTACCAGTGAGGAGGTTATCTTGCAACTCAACTTGAGTCAGCTTCGGCAATTCGAATAGCCCCTTCGGAATTGAGCCATTCAAGTAGTTCTCCCCGAGACGGACACGGCTCAAGGACTTGCACTGGCCGAGTGAGTCTGGGACGGCACCGAACAAGAAGTTGCCGAGCGCGATGAGCGTCTGCAGGTTGCCCCCGGCGCAGAGCTCCGGCGGCAGCGTGCCGGTGAGCTTGTTCGACGAGAGGTCGAGCAGCTGGAGGCGGCCGTTGCGGCCGAGGCTGCGTGGCACACCGCCGGTGAAGTTGTTCTCCCACAGCTGCAGCACCTCGAGGCTGGGCAGGTCGCCGACGAAGTCGGGGATGTCGCCGCGCAGCTTGTTCCGGAACAGGTTGAGCAGCGTCAGGTTCTTGAGCTCGGAGAAACTCGCCGGTATCTCACCGGTGAGCGCATTGTTCGACAGGTCCAAAGAACTGAGGCTCTTGAGGTAGCCCAGCTCCGAGGGTATGCTGCCGGTGAGGCCGTTCACCTGCAAGAAGAGCGTATCCAGATTCTGCAGCCTCCCAAGCTCCGGCGGGATTTCGCCGGAGAGCCCACAGTTGGCGGCGTCGATGCGGACGAGCTCGGTCAGGTTCCCCAGCTCCGGCGGAAGACCACCGGTGTAACTGTTGTAGTAGCCAATGTAGAGCTCCCTGAGGCTGGTGAGGTTCCCCAGCTCGGGCGGTATCTTGCCGGAGAGCTCGTTCCCGGAGACCGCAAGGTACTGCAGCCTGGGCCACCGGCCGTACTCCGGCGGTATCTCCCCGGAGAAGAAGTTGCCGCCGAGGTGCAGGTGGCGGAGCATGGTCATGTGCGTGACCTCGAGCGGCAGCGTGGCGCTGGTGAGGTTGTTGTTGTAGAGGTCGAGCACCCGGAGCGCGCGGAGCCGCGCGAGCGCAGGCGGGAAGGAGCTGTTGAAGGCGTTGTTGGAGAGGTTGAGGTGGACGAGGAGCTGTAGGCGCGCGAGCGACCGCGGGATGGGCCCGTAGAAGCCGTTGGCGGCGACGGAGAGGCGCTGCAGGCCGCGGAGCCGCGACAGCGCCGGCGGGAGCGCGCCGGACAGGTTGAGCCCGGAGACGTCGAGCCCAACGACCACGCCGCCGGAGCCCCGGGGCGCGCAGGTGACCCCCGCCCACGTGCAGTGGTCGGAGGAGGCGGCGTCCCAGGACGCGAGCGCGCCGGTGGGGTCGGAGAGCGCCGCCTTCGCGGCGAGCAGCGCGTCCGCGTCCGTGTCCGTGCCGCTGCCCGCCGCGCCGGCCGCGCCCGCGGCGACGGCCAGGAGCAGGAGCAGCGGGAGGAGGCGCATTGGGGTTCTCTTTTCTCGGGCGCGGCGGCGGTGGGGCGGAGGGGGGAGGAGAAGAGTGGGCGAGAGGCGGCTTGGCTCACACTCTCGGCGAGGAGAGTGCGGACAAGAGCGTGGCGACTGGCGAGGGGTGTGCTTGCTGTGGGTTTGAGTTTGAACGCTCACTAAACTATAGGATATCAATCAATCAAAATGGATTTTTTTTGGTTCTTTTGGGGTCGTGTGTGTTTCCTTCTGGGGATTGGGCTGCTTTTATAACGTGATCTCGGGGTCTCTCGGTATCGAATGGATAGATGGACATGGGCAGTTTTGACTTTTGGCTAACGATTAATCCATTGCAGTGCTCATGGAGTGCCAGTAGTACTAGTGTACTCCTAGTAAACCTTTTTCTCGACTATCCGTTTCCGTATTTAGAAAAAATACAGAAATGAGACGAGGGGTATTTCCTTGGTGTTGTAGGATCATTTTTAGTCAAAATAGACCTATATTCATCTTGTATTTATGAATTCGAGATGAGTTTTAGCATCTGTTATGGAAACTAGGTATTTATATAATAATTAAAAACATAAGATCATCCTGAGGAGCACCAGGAAACTCATGAGACACATTTAACTTTTAACATATAGAGTTGGTACACTATAAGCTATGTCATGACTCATGATATTAGCTTAGATCTTTCGGTTTTCATCTGTATTTGTTTCTTTCAGACTTTTAGTATTCTCAAATGTCCCATTTTCATTTTTTGTTCCTAGCTATCTCAATCCCGTTCCTGCTAGGGCATACCTAGGTAACGTCGAGTGTAGGTGCGGATAGTGTAAATACTCATGCATAGCAGATTGCATATCGGTTAAAATTTCATATCCATGTCTATATCCGCGTGTAAGATTTTGTACTTACGCTCGCTCCCGTCAGGTTACAATACACGTGGATACGCTCACCCACAATTTATATTATCACTAGAATATCAACTAACGGCTAAAAAGCGCCCGTAGACAAAATATTTTACTCATATCCACATCCATGTGTAGAATTTTGTACCGACGTTCACACATCGGGTACAATACGTCCTTAGGCACCGGCGGCGATTCAAAAAATGCTAATATTATTTAGACTCTTTTTCATCATTGATGCCTCCATATAAATGAATGACAAGGCCTTGGCGCATCAAGAAATGTAAGGTTAACTTGAAAATTATCCTCAGTATTATGCGTCCCGTCAACCCTTCGGCGTGGTTTCCGTTTTCGATGACCAAATACGGAAACAAAAAATACTCTAGTTAACAGACTTTTGTCGTCCGTTTTCGTGGTAGCCGGGATTTTTTGAAACACAAACATATGAAACGGGCGCCGCAACGCTTGCTGAGACAGTCAGATGGTGGTGAACGGATGATACGAATAGGATTCCACACGAGTACGAGGCCCACCCGGTCATCCCCCATCAACGCGCGTGCGTGGGATTCCATACGTATAGGATTCCGTATCGCTACGACTGCGTACGTGTGCGGTCTACGAGTAAGGTGGTGTTGTATAGGATTCCGTATCGCTACGACTGCGTACGTGTGCGGTCTACGAGTAAGGTGGTGTTTGTTTGCCCTTCTAGATTTTAATCACTATCCCATCGAATATTTGACATATGCATAGAGTATTAAATATAAATTAATTATGAAACTAATTGTATAGTTTGTGACTAATTTGCAAGATGAATCTTTTAAGCCTAATTAATCCATGATTTAATAATGTGGTACTACAGTAAATATGTGCTAATGATAGATTAATTAGGCTTAAAAATTCGTCTCGTGGAGTATCGACGGATTATGTAATTTATTTTTTTATTAGTATCCAAACACCCATACAACATCCTTCCAACACACCTTCTAAATTTTAGTCACTAGATCAAACACCACCTGAATATCGACACTGTGCTGCTGGTACCTGCAGTCCATTCCAGCTGCTGCGAGCCGTATGGCGACCGTCGGTGCGTTGTATACCGGTGGTGCATTCAGAGCTACGCTTCATGGCTCACCTGCAAACTTGACCCTGCAGCCGGAGTGAATCAATCCGCCTGCTCGGCTCGAGATCTTTCCGCGGTACAGTACACTACTACTGCACCGGTACCAGTCTTGTCCGACTGCTTGTATTTTCTCAGCCTTTTTATTACGCGCCTGCGCAGGAGTATCTAATATCCATACCATACCGTAATTAAGGGTACATTAACACCAGCAATTTCATATCCTCACCAACAATGTTGACTCGCGGCTCGCGGGAAGGAAAGAAGCAGCGGCGGCGAGGCGACGACAGGAGAGGAGAGTGAAACGCCGTACTGTACGTGGCGTTCAGCTCTGCGTCCCTCCGGTCTGGCCCACGTTCCATCAATTTCCCCTGACGCGGCACAGTCAACTTCTTGCATGCACCGATGCACGCACAGCTCGATGATGGCGCGTGCAGTGCAGTGCAGTGCTCCACGATCGATCATCTTGCATGCTTACGGTTTGGGACATTCGGCCAGGTGGTGATCATTCGTTTCCTCCCTGCGTGCAGTGCTGTTCTGTTTCATTGGTTGGCAGGTTTCTTCCAGTAGTACTCGAGCACGCTTGCTCCCCGTCGCTGGGCAAACAAGGCGACGACACATCATCATTGTAGCCTTGTAGGGGTAGGGGTAGTGCACCCCTGACTCCTGTCCCTATCCTCCTGCTGCCTTCGTTGCTGCCCTGACTGACAGTGTGGGCCCCAGCTGCTACTTGTGACGCTAGAGGACACAGTCAAATCGCCGAAGCGGTGGAGCAGCACTCGCTGGCTGGTGGCTGCTGGGGCACAGCCGGAAGCCGTACCCGTACCCTTCTTCTTCGGCGCGTCGCTGCAAGATGTGCCAGCGTACTCGCTGTTCTATTCTCGTCGGAGCTTAATTATGCGCCTCGCAGTGGGAGAGGGAGACTGCCACTGCTACGAGGCGGTCAGTGAAAAACACTGTTTTGACTGCCGTACTAGTACTACCTTCGTCCCACAAACAAGGTAATGTTAGAGTTCAAATCTGGACATGTTCGTCGGCTAGAGTTTATAGCATTTTCTCTCGTAATAAAACAGCTTCAGCCGACTTTAATATCAGCCGAACAGGCCTGGTCCCGAAATGAATGTAATCGTAGAGTTAAAATTAACTTTTTTAGTGGGATCCACCTATTAAAAAAATTATTGCATGACTAAAACATTACCATACCCTATCCATCCATGCGTATAAATATTCTAAACTTCTGAAAAACACTCTAGAACACCCAATAAAACAAGGGACAAATATGTAATTTTACATCTACACTTATTTAACCTTGAAAAGTGAGATTCACATTCTTTTTGAAACGGAGGGAGTCGTCAGGTATTAAACTGCAGTTTAACTAGTGTTAAAAACAATACTCCGTACATACTTGTGTTCTTCGCATCGCAGTTGAAGTGATGAGAACACGGGTATGCATTGACCTCTCTTGAAGCCTGCTTTGGTTCGTAAGAAAAATGGAGGAAAAAAATATAGGGTTAGAAATTGCTTCTATGCCTCTGGTTCGCAGGATTGGATCGGAGTATATATATGAATAGTGTAGAAAAATGTCCTTTGACAACAACTTTAGAGAAAAAAATACGTGAAATATAGCACGCACTCAAACCTCTTGGTAAAAATCCTATTTTACTGTGGCCTATCCAAATGTTCTTTCCTCTAAAATTCTTGTTTTTTCTAATCCTCCATTTTGTAACTGCTTTCCTGTAAAAGATTCATGTTTTTTTTTTCTTATTCCTGTGTTCGGTGTTCCAATGGAGCTGAATGTCTGATGACAGGAGCGAGACGCAATATTGTCGTCAGTCTACTCGCTACTAGACGGAATCATCCATCTTTTCTGTGTTTGCAACCTTGCATCAGCTGCACTAACACTCACCAAACAGCACACCTTTCTATTTTTTTCTCGCCTAAACAAAGAGAAAAGGAACACACTGGTCATTGTCAGTAGCAAAAAGGAGAGCTACACTAGTAGCGACACCAAAAAGAACCTCAACTTGGTCCGTTGCCAATCGATTGTTAAGCTGGTGAAGGTGAAGACTGAAGACACATTTTGATCAGCGGCTCGGGCAGGGCAGGGGGTTGTAGACACACCCACGCTACCTACAGGCTAGGCTAGACAGGACAGGAGCACATGAGCATGAAACCCTACAACTGTATAGGTACACTGCACCTGCAGGCGCCGATGTCCGGTGACGGTGAGGTAGCTAGCGAAAGCCCTGGATGGGGCATAAAAAGAAACCGGGCCTAACACGACAAAGGCACAAAAGCTCGTCGGGATCAAATCTCAAATCTTAAACCTTGCCCGAGTTCGGCAGAGGAAGGCGATCCGCGATCGGAGTGTGGGTACGAATCGTGGTGCAATTTTGAGGCCTCGATCTGCACCGGACCGGTGGAAAGGGCCAAGCCGCCAAGGCCCTTTGCCCCCACGCCCCCCATGTGACGAGTTTCCTTGGTTCCTCCTGCCTTGAGACGGGTGCGGTGAAAGGAGAGGAGAGATTCTCGCTGCTCCTGTGCTAGGCGACCGTGGAAAAATGGGTGGTTCCAAAGCGTCCTAGATTGGTGGTCACACCCACGTCGCGTCCATCGATCGAAATTTTGACGGTCTGCTCGTGCTCAGCGCGACTCATGAGGCGGTACGCGGGCCGGCGCTTCGGTCGGCCTTCAGCTAGCAGGACAGCAAATGATCGATGCATGCAGTTTCTTTCAGCTAGCAGCATGTATCTATCCGTGTCCTATATTGTTCTAGCAAGCGAAATTTGTGGCTGTGACACGAGTAAAATCTGTGGTGGTTGTTGATTGACTATATTGGTAGTATACGAGTAGCTAGGGGCTGTTTAATTTCCCTCTAAAACGCTAAATTTTTCAAGATTCCCCGTCACATCGAATCTTTAGACACATGCATGAAGTATTAAATATAAATAAAAAATAAAACTAATTACACAATTTAGACGAAATCCACGAGACGA